ATTAACCTTTTTAGCCCCCCTGATGCTGCGGGCAAACGATTTCCATGATGGAATTCCTTTGCCCGTAAATGTGCATTTGATTTTAACCTGGGTTGGGGGGCCTCTTTCCCTTGGGGGTGCGAGGGATCATCCCACTTCTGACACCTATTTGTCGGGGTCGCTAGCCCCCAAGATCCCTCCCTCGATAATGCTTACGGCCGGGCTAACATCATCTATCGCCCCCCCGCTGCTGAGCGAACCGCTGCTAGGTTCCTCACCCATGGTGTGGGAGCCGTCGCCCGAGGATTCCCCTCCACCGCGGGTCCGCGTAGTAGGCATGGTTGGATACCGCGTAGTATTATGTCCCCCTTTACGCTACCACGATACCTCCCTTTCCTAATCGCGTACTTGCGACCCACACGGAGCGAACGTACGCACACACACACACACCGCTCCGTGCACTCCAACTCCACACTGACTACTCGCGTTATGATCGTGCACCTGTATCACACACGGAGTGAACACACGCGACACCCACTCTCGCACTGCTCTGCGCAGCGCTCCCCCGAGGCGAGCCGCAGCACTACAGAACCACTGCGTACACACGCTCACCCATGCGCTCGGCTCCGCGCAGCGCTCACTCACGTGGCGAACCACTGTGTGCACCCGCGCACCCACACGCTCACGCTGCACGACAAGATCACGCGAAACCACGCTTCACTATTAATGATTTATTATCTGATACCTGGTAATTTAATGTTAAATCAGTGAGTCGACGAGGCTGGCCTACGCTGACACCTTTATACCTATTCCCGATTTATCTGCTATGATTCTAATTCACCTTCTTACTCCCTGTTGGATGCCCACGGCGGTTCGTTGATCCCGTACTCGCAGCGTGCCTCGATGCGTCTCACGGACGTTCGGGTCGCTGGACTGGAGAGCGTCCTGTCGCCTGGCGCTGGAGAGAAGAGACTGATTTCCCCTTTGCGCCCCCTATTTATCCTCCCTACCTCAAAAGGATGATGTGCTGAACAATGGGCTCGCGCACCTCGAGTACGCGCACGGCGGTTCCGGGCGCTTTTGATATGCTAATCAGTGAGCGGCGTGCGCGGCGTAAATCCTAATTAATCCCTTACCCTTCCTAACAATGGGGCCTGCGCGCTCAAGCGTAATGATCCCAACCCTCCATGACTATGCGCAAGAGCCCCTGCGGTCCCGCTATTCATGCTGTCCGCTCCCTCCCCTGCTTGCCCCGTCGACCCGTGGGGGTGTGTGTGGGGGGAAATGCGCCTCAACCGCGGTGGCCGAATGCCCCACGCCGCGACCAAACCATATTAAGGCCGGTCGCAGCGCCGCGGCGCAACGTAGCACGGGGGAGGTCATCCAATTCCCTGATCGCCGGAAACCGTGAGAGTTAGTCCCGATAAGGGTTTCTCGGATAAAAACCGGTCGGCCAGGTGACCTCCCCTCGGAGCTCTATGGGGGGGGGGGGGGGAAATGCGTGCGGGTGTGTTCATGTGAGGTGAGGTGAGGGGGACAAGGGGTTGGCTCCGTTGCTTGGTGGTGGCGAGGTCGGGGATGGGGCGCCTGCCGAACGGCTTCGTGGCGGCGGCATCACAGGTGCCCTGTCTTGATGTTCTCCGGCTTTAGGAGACTTGAGTGCACAATTCATTCTTATTACGACTACCATTGTTTAACCCAGGAACGCCTCGCCGAATCTCAAGAATCTTTTTTTAGGAGGCTCCTGTCAAGTTTCCGCGAGTAGTGGGCCGCTGCTCTGTGTCTCATCCTATAATTGAAAAAGGTGCAAGTACATTTTTTCTGTTTTAAAGCACTGCAATGTTTGGCCAATGCCAGTTGTTATAGTGTTCGTTTAGCTACGGGATGACACCTAGAGGGAATCTGGAAGGAAAAGGGGTGGGGTCATATAACGTGTAAAGTTCACACTAAAAAAGGTACCCCGAGTCGGGAGTGTAGAGGCGACATTCTTGGGCGATCAGAATCCCGGGCAGGGTCGGCTCAGCCGTGCCAAGCCAGCGGGCCTCCGAGTGCTGGACTGAAACCGCTGACCAATCGCGAGCTCCGGGCCAGAACAGACGTCTTGTGTTGCAACCCGCTGGCGGCTTGGTAGCACGTGACGGGAGTTGTCCACGCGCTCCGGACCCGTGGCCTCATGGAGCTCAAGGCCCGAAGACAGAGCATCGCAGCGCATAAGAAAGAGTTAATAGCGATGAGGATAAGTGCGAAGACCTGTCAGATGTAGCGTCGTGTCAGATGCAGTGTTGTGCCAGTTGTAGAATTGTGTCAAATGTCGCATCGTGTCAGATCCAGCATTGTGTCGGATGCAGTATTGTGCCAGTTTTAGTATTTTTTCAGATGCAGCCTTGTGTCATATGTAGGACTGTATAAGATAAAGTACGATGTAGGCTTGCAGACAAATACATGTTTATTTAATTCCTTAATGTGTCAAACTCGCAGACCTGCCAGATTTGTATTTAATTCCTTAATGTGTCAAACTCGCAGACCTGCCAGATTTTTATTTCATTCCTTAATGTGTCAAACTCACAGACCTGCCAGATTTGTATTTAATTCCTTAATGTGTCAAACTTGCAGACCTGCAGCGTGCTCGTGGCTTGCGGGAAGGCCACCCTGGTGGCGTGCGTGGGTGGAATTCCCGGAACGTTTACAAATCATCCGTAAACAAACCCTCCACCACTTTCATAACTCGCACGCGCACTATTCATTTACCGACGCATTCCAGTGGCTAAACGTACCGATGGGCCCGCCACCAAATCTGCAGGAATGGGGATCACACGTGGGGAGGATGTTCAGGTGACGTTGAGGAAATCATCAGCTGCACGATGCTCCTAGGTAGACTCAGCCTTAAATGACTTGGCTCATGTGACGTGTAAAACATCGTCTTGCGTGACGTCGATGTCTTTGTGTGTCCATGTGTCTTGTTCATTGTCTGATATCAATGAGGGAGTCATCTGCACGGAGATCAATTCGGTGGGACCTCGACACGACACCCCGGTTCACGGAGACTCCCCAGGGTCCCAGCAGAAGCGCGTGGTGGTGGTTGGTGGTGGTGGTTGGTGGTGGTTGGTGGTGGTGGTTGGTGGTGGTGGTTGGTGGTGGTTGGTGGTGGTGGTTGGTGGTGGTTGGTGGTGGTGGTGGTTGGTGGTGGTTGGTGGTGAACCGCAAGCCCGCGCAAACAGCCGCACGCACACAGGAACCTCTCTGTGCTCCACACACAGAGTCCCCCGTTGCATAAAACACCGCAGTGCCAGCCCCCCCGCCCACCACCCCTAAATTCCAACCCCCACCACGCACGACCTCGCGGGCCCTCTTGAACCTGCACCCATCGCATCCTTCAGGCTTGTTGGTTCTCGGAAACAGAGCACTTCTCAAAAAGCCCGATATGGGGGTTCGAAGCCTCCTGCACATTCCTCAGCTTCCATGTGAGTCTCGTGACCGGAGGTCAGAGTTCAGAGGGCCCGCTTTTCACTTGGCATCGATTATTATTTTTTAGAAAATGTAAAGATACAGACTCGACCTCGTGTTGACGGATCGGTCTGCCTGCAAGAGTCTCACTGCTGAGACATCCGCTGCATTTTGTCGACTTTTTCTAATCTCGAGTGATCCTCAACGCGAAATTGCACCGGGACGTTCTCACTGGACTCGAGTGCATGACACATGGTTCGCCTCGCAAGGCCTCGAGACCTCGCGTCACAAGGGCCATGCTCGCCTCTGTCGCAACGATTGCCGTGCGCATGCCTCAATGTAACAACATCGCGAGTGATACTTCGAATGACGTCGTAGGACATTTAACTTTCACTGTGAAGCAGATGACGCGTAGTATTTGTAAGGTTAATGCACACCGCTATTAACGAGGGCGGCCTGCTGAGGTTGAACCGTGAACCTTTGCACCAAGTGGCGAAGGGGTGTTTCGCAGGGGTAATATAGTACGGCGTGTACATTCATTTTCTTGGCACCCAAAATAAACTCCGTGTGTTTAAAAGGTTAGGGGTCAATAATGTGTTACCTTGAGTTTACTGTGAAAGTTGCCCTGGCCTCATGAGCCCACATTCTCATGCAAGCAGAGCAAACTTGTCTCATCATGGTGCCATCACACACTGACGCGCTGCCAGTGGCGCTGCTGGTGATAGTGATGGTGATCGTGATCGTGATGGTGATCGTGATGGTGATGGTGATCGTGATGGTGGTGATCGTGATGGTGATCGTGATGGTGATCGTGATGGTGATCGTGATGGTGATGGTGGTGATCGTGATGGTGATGGTGATCGTGATGGTGATCGTGATGGTGGTGATCGTGATGGTGATCGTGATGGTGATCGTGATCGTGATGGTGATCGTGATGGTGGTGATCGTGATGGTGATCGTGATGGTGGTGATCGTGATGGTGGTGATCGTGATGGTGATCGTGATGGTGATCGTGATCGTGATGGTGATCGTGATGGTGATCGTGATGGTGGTATATCAACTGACGCCACGCAGAGCATTGTCATGGTGGACGCAGCGCATTTTGAGTAGAATTAAGGGAAAACAATTCGAATGTTATTTTTTGTGTAACACAATTACAGAATCAGAATATCTATTTATTAAAATGCAGACGGACCACAGTTGCACGACTATGCAGCGAGTTCCTTAAATCCCCATTCACAAGGCTTGTTGTTGTTATTTTTGTAAAGAACCGTGGCACTAAAGCCACACACATGGTTTGAAATCCATTTTGCAACGAGCCCTGCGTTGAAAAACAACCCCCGCTGGCGCTGGCGGACATCCCCCCCCCTTCCAGAAGCACCCAGCACCACCACATCTGGAGCGCATCACTGAGAGCATCACGCCACTGGCCACCCCAGAGAGTGCTGGCACGTGGCTGGGGGCTGTTGACTGGGGGGGCTGCCCCGGTGCCCCCCCCACCCCTCGATTGGATTCTGTGCGTGGAGGAGGAGGAGGAGGGGGAGGAGGTCTCCGCCGTTTTGGAGCGCGTCCGCGTCTATAAAAAGCGTCGCCTTAGCATCCCAGAGGCAGGCGAGTCGAGACTGATTTCCCCGTGCTCTTGATCGTTTCAGCGGGAAGAAGAAAACAAAAGCGAGCGGAGATGCTTTATCTGGTCATTATCGCGGTGCTGACCGCTGCTGCTTTTGCCCAGGAGTAAATAAACAACAACAACAAGCACCTGCGATCACCACACGCACGCACGCAAACACAGCGCGGCGTTGTTAATAACAGCGGCACGTGATGCGATTTCACCCGGATTTGTGTTGTGGTGTTGTGGTGGCAGGGCGATACCGGAGTTCTGCACCGAGACCACGGAATGCTTCCAGTTCAAGGTCCTCTGCGAAGCTGACAAGTACGAGGTAAATGCGCCGCATCGTCACCGCTGACCGTGCGGGTATCGAGGTGTGGTTACGTTAAATGGTAATGTGCACATTTAGCTCTAAATTGCAAATATCGATCACCGTCGTCGCAAGCTGCATCATTGACAACGCGTACGACGAGCACACCAGCGTGGCCTCGTGCAGCGCCACGGCCAGCAGCAGCAGCTGTTGTTGTTGTTGGTGTTGTTGGTGTTGTTGTTGGTGGTGTTGGTGTTGTTGTTGTTGGTGGTGTTGTTGTTGTTGGTGTTGTTGTTGTTGGTGGTGTTGTTGTTGGTGGTGTTGTTGTTGTTGGTGTTGTTGTTGGTGGTGTTGGTGTTGTTGTTGTTGGTGGTGTTGGTGTTCGTTTGGTGGCGACTTTGTGCGTTGGCCCCGGCTCTCTGTGCGAGTCGCGCTCACTGCAAACGGGGTCACTACCCACAGCGCAATTGTGCCAGCAACATTTATCATTTAAGTTTGAACGCAAATGTGTTTTTTAGCAGTGATTACACTTCTGATTATTGAAGGGTTTGTTACGCAATCGCTAACTATTACATGCATATAAAAAATAAAACGTTAATCAGGAATTATTTAAAAACGTACTCATTATAATTAGGCCCGGATGTATGTTGAGCTTCTTTCGCACCGCACGTTGCCAACCGTGTTCATCGGAGGTGCGGGGTCTCGCGGTGCCAGTGCAGCCCTCTACCTCTCACCGTCCATGCCATCCTTGCCATCCTTCTCGGCCTCCGTGTTCACGTGCTGTGGAGTCGGGCGTCGCTCGCCACGCTGCGTCTCACGCGCGCTCACTACGAAGGCCACACGCTGTCGTTGACGGGCGTGTTGAAGTTGTTAAGCTCATTGAGCACGTGCAGAATAAGAACACGTGCAGCTCGTCTGCGCAGCGGCTGCAGCATCACCACGGACTTGTACCGAGAGCTTTACCACCGCAGTGATTGTGGTGGAGTGTTAGCAACACCCAGCCGCCACACACGTGGCTTGGATCTCTTTGTTTGGCAGGCTGCCCATCAATCTCTTGCGTATTAAATGGATATTGAAATAAAATTAAGCGCAGGGTTTTCGGCAATGTGTCGTAACATTGTTGCCGTACGGTAATTCCTCCCGTATTCTGGGCTGGGGAGCATTGTGAAAGCGCCACTTCATTCCTGTCCCCACGCAGCAGCACGTGACATTAATTTGCCACTCGTATATGTTTCACAAATATTCCGGACACATTACAAAACCGCTCTTGTTTTGCTCAAAGCGATGCGCTGCGTTCCTCTCTGCGTCAGGGGTGTCCAACCGTAATGCCCTCTGGCCCCTTCCAGAGTAAACTTCGGGGCTACACGTTTCGATTATTTACCTTCCAAAACAATCTGACCACGTCTCGCACCCCAGCTGAAGGAGAAGAAGAGCCACTGCTCTCCGTGTATGTTAAAGCGATTACTCTCCCTGAATATACTTTTGTAACCATCCCGAGACCACATTTTTATCCAATCCATCGAGCTTGCCTTGCGCTTTTTAAACTGTGGCTGGATGCTGCTGATGTGGTTTGTGTGAAGGGTTAAGGGGTTATGAGTCGGGTAGATGTTAGGGGTTAGGGTCACGGTTTGGATTAAGCTTGGGCGTTATGGTTTAAATGTTACGGTTTAGGGTTTGGGTTCATAAGTTAGCGTTGTGGATCACGGTTATGGTCAGGGTTTAGAGTTAATGCTTTGGGGTTTAGGGATTCTGGTTATGGGTTTAGGGGTTCGGGGTTGGGTTAGCGACAGTCAGACCTAACACTTGGCGATCTTGCCAACAATCTGCTATCACGGACGTTTTGCTCATCAACATTTACAATTGACGCCAATATAAACAGAAAGGAATATACTACTCAGGTATTAATTCAATGTAAAAAAGGACATCACGAGAAGCGTTAGTCCCCGTGTGTGCGTGTGCGCGTGTGTGGGTGCGCGTGTGTGCGTGTGCGCGTGTGTGTGTGCGCGTGTGTGTGTGTGCATGTGTGCGCGTGTGTGCGTGTGCGCGTGTGTGTGTGCGCGTGTGTGCGTGCGTGTGCGTGTGTATGCGTGCGTGTGTGTGCGTGCGTGTGCGTGTGTGCGTGTGTGTGCGTGTCCGCGTGTGTGCGTGCGTGTGTGCGCGTGTGTGCGTGCGTGCGCGTGCGTGTGTGTGTGCGTGTGTGTGTGTGTGCGTGTGTGCGTGCGTGTGTGTGTGCGTGTGTGTGCGTGTGCGCGTGTGTGTGTGCGCGTGTGTGTGTGCGCGTGTGTGTGCGCGTGTGTGCGCGTGCGTGCGCGTGCGTGTGTGTGCGTGTGTGTGCGCGTGTGTGTGTGCGCGTGTGTGTGTGTGCGTGTGTGCGCGTGTGCGTGTGTGCGCGTGTGTGTGCGCGTGTGTGTGTGTGCGTGCGTGCGCGTGTGCGTGTGTGCGTGCGTGCGTGTGCGCGTGCGTGTGTGTGCGTGTGTGCGTGTGTGTGTGTGTGCGTGTGTGCGTGCGTGTGTGTGTGCGTGTGTGTGCGTGTGTGCGTGCGTGTGTGTGTGCGTGTGCGCGTGCGTGTGTGTACGTGTGTGTGCGTGTGTGCGCGTGTGTGTGCGTGCGTGTGTGTGCGTGCGTGCGTGTGTGTGCGTGTGCGTGTTAACACGCTGGAGGTTAACTGCACAGACATTTGGGGGGCGGGGGGGCAGGATGTGAGCCAGGGGCCTGCGCGCCGCAACCGCCCGTCGGTGCGTGGCGCCGATCGCCGCCGCTCTTCCTTGCCTCGTTGCAGCTTCGGCGGTACGAGAAGTCGGTCTGGGTGGCAACGGACGTGGAGTCGCTGGTGTACGAGCACGCTTCCATGACCGGATTCCGCAAGCTCTTGAAGTACATCACGGGGGACAATGATGCCAGTGAGTGGAGGGGGAGGGGGGCATCCTGCCTCCTGCAAGGGCCTCGGGGTTGCCGCTCGCGTCGCCGCGATAGAATTTGTCACGATTGGATTCATTGCGGTAATTCATCGTAGCTGGTCGATAATATTTGGAACAATTTTTTTTCATCTTCTCACAATAAATGCGAAATTAATTGCTTCAAATCTCGGGAGAGTAATAGGCAAGATACATAAGTAGCTACCACCCATTAAAGTAGTGCTTTGTGAAACATTTTTTTGGAGTAATTGATGGCATTTATACGATGTCATCAGTTTTTAGAATTTGTTTCACCAGTGAATGATGTACTGTGTAAATAACAGCCAATGTTTGTATTATTCTCGATTGTAACATCGCGATGGTTAGAACACTCAGTGCTGGCTCCTGTCGAGTAAATTAGAGTTGAAGAACTTAAAGTCGTCGGTATTTGTGCTGGATGCACATCGAAGCACACACATACAAAAGACTACACGTCCTCACGACATGAGTATTATCACATCCGTTTCCCGTCACCTTGTAATTGCACTTTACTAAGTTATTGATGTCAAGCTTTGCGGTGCTTACAGTACAAACTATCAACACATCGCGGCCACTTCTGTCTGTACAGTAGCCCAGTAATAAACACATGATTTGGAGCTTGAAAAGACCTTCAAATTATACGATTACACACCGCGATAAAAAAAACCTAAACTCAATCCCACAATTAAATGCGCAGTACCGTACCTAGTTTTACCAAAGCAATTTGTTGCAAAATGCCCTTCAAAGCATTTTTAAAACACGGGAGGAAGCCATGCGCAGTGAGAAGCACAATTGTGCAATGTGATACAACTCCACCCAGCATCGAACGACGACCCAACGCCCGAGTCACAAACGCGAAGCGGGCGGCATTGGCACGGCATTGCCACGGCATTCGCACGGCATTGGCACGGCAGCGAGGCGGCGCTACTCCGCTCGGAGTCGGCCTCAACCGCCTCGGAGTCAAACTGCAGTCGCTGCTCTGCATCGACATCATTCACATTTGCTTTTCTTTCCGCAAATTCATAGTCTTTGGATCTTTCGGTAAAGTCACGTAGATAGATTAAAAGAAAATAGCAAAAAATAACAAACAGAAAACGACCACGTTTCGATCACAACTCAAGCGATCGTCATCATCAGGATGATGGTAGTTTTTTTACATTTTCTTTGAACTTATCTGCGTAACTTTACAGAAAGACCCAAAGAATATGAATTCCTGCAGCCACGAAAGCTTAACGTCAAGATTTTTCCGCAAACGGTGTATGTCATGTCACGGTTTGAGTGATGAAATGTGACGCAGCTGCTTTGTCTGCCACGGTCTCCCCTCATCAGTGCAACAGATCAACATGACGACTCCGGTGCTGATTAAAGTTCCCCACGGCGGCAAATTCTGGCAGAAGACCAAATACACGGTGCACTTCATGCTGCCTGCCGCTGTGGCCGAGAACCCGCCGTCACCTTTCAACCCCGAGGTATGAGCCGCACGTCCCGACACGTGCACACGGGGGCGCCAGCCATTGTTGAGAAATTGCAATGATCCAGCAACTCGATGCAGGTCCATACAAAGATCCCCCGTATAGCCTGTAATAGACTGTTAGGGAAAGTGCTGTTAGCGAGCATCTATGAAGGCCGGCACGGCACACGAGGGGGTGGGTGGCCAGCACCACGCCCGGCCGCCTTTGTCTCCCCAGTGGCGATGTTTACACACCGCGCCAGGTACTCATTTTAGGCTGAGTCGACCTAGGGGAGGCCCAGGACCGGTTCAGATAATCGTCACTGGTGTTGGCCGTGAGCGTGAATCGAACTCGGTTTACCGGGTTTGTAGCGCGGCGCGCTAACCATTACACTACCGGTCCATACAAATACACACACACAAACACGCGCACACAAACACGCACGCACACACACAGAGTCTTTATAAACCTCCAAGTGGTGCTGTGGCTGAACATGTTGACCTACTGATTATCCAATTGGGAATACACAGAGCTGCGTGGCGGCCCCCGACTTTTACAACTTTGCAGGACCCTCCCCGAACACACGTCCTGAGACTCGGGGAGACTTTAGCCGAGAGGACGCGAGCGGAGACTTTAGCCGAGAGGACGCGAGCGGAGACTTTAGCCGAGAGGACGCGAGCGGAGCGCCGCTAACGAGTGCGTCGTCTCCTGGCCGTGTCTGTCTTAGGTGTACTTTGTGCGCATGCCGGCCATGACCGTGTATGTGAAGTCGTTTGGAGGCTGGATTCTCACAGTCACCTCCAAGATCTACTCTGGCCTCCTCTCCAGTGACCTCAAAGATAAGAAAAAGAACTTCGACAATAGCTTCCACTACATGGCCTCATATAATAGGTGAGAGATCTCGCCCCGCTGCCATGGTGCACGCTTACCATGGTGGACGCTTACCGCACGGATCCACACATCAATTAACAGCCACAACGTGGTGTCCCTGTACTCATGAAAGTGTTCTAAAGTAACATTTACGTGAATGATTATGACCAGTGGCTGAAATGTCAATGTGGAAGTGCCGATATGAAGCGTGTTCGATTTGCAGCAGCAACAAGGCAATGCACGCTCGCTGTTCCAGTGCCATCGTCATTGCAGTCTGCTTACAGCATGTGTCAGTGGTGCGATATGCTCGACACCACCGTGAAATCGAATGGTTCTCTTTGCAGACCGACAAAAATGCTGAATCGTCACAATGAAGTGTGGTACATGGCGACGGAGAACCCCAACTGTGAGGCTTGATCCGGAGTGTGAGGGCTCTTCCCTGCGACTCACACCTGACCCAGCAGCACAACCAACGCCCCACGGCTGTGGAGATCCACCGAGCCCACCACCACCACCCACCACCACCCACGCCGCATCACCACCTACTACCACCATCACCCACTACCACCACCACCATCATCCATTACCACCACCACCATCATCCACTACCATCACCACCACCCACGCCGCATCACCACACGCCAACAATCACCACCATCCACCACCACTCACCGCCACGTTGGGGACCACTAAACTAAGGGCTGTGATAAGTTACATGGCTCACCGATCTCACACAACAAGCACGTGGATGTTCATGGTACACTTTTAGTTATGTCACTTTTAATATTTGCACTCACAATAATTCCAATAATCAGTTGCATGCATTTTAAATCTATCGGGATCGTGATGTCACATGTTGTAACGGCAGTATAGTACACCCAACATATATGTGTTGTGTGGTGTAGTGGACTTTTTTCAAGTGGCTATGGAAAACGTGATTAAACATTTGTACTCTATTAAAACAGCAACTATAAACCGATGGATGTTCTTGTTTCATTGTGTTCATAATGCACGGCCAACACGCCAGCGCTCTGCGTTGTGGGTAATGTATCAGAAACCCAGAACTAGAAGCAGAGCACTGGCCAACAACACCCGAGACTGATTATGGCGATCGCCACCAGAACGTTCGTAAAGTCACTCAGTGCAGCAAGTAATGCAAGCGTGACTAGTTTCCATTTAGTCGCAAATAACTTGGAGGTGTGGAGCGTCCTACTCGATAAAGCTGCCGCCGCGACCCTCGCCAGGACAAGCGGATTGAGGGACGAGCGACCTGACGAACACGACTTGGGAAGAACCGCAGAGCGGCAATGCCCACGGTGATGGAACTACCACAGACTCCGCAAAACACTCTGTGTCGATGGGATAGCCTTGAGTGTGTGAGCAGTGATTCATTTTAGCCAGAGCAGTCCACAACGCTGTTCTGGAATTATTTTGGCACCAAGTCACACACACCACAATATATTTTGTCCTCATAGGACCATTGGAATAGAAAAGGGTACAGTACTCTGATAGTATGTGTTGGTGTGCCTCGTGCTCAAGTGGTCGTGGCTTACGCCGACAATGCCTTCTCCACGCCAGTCGAGCAGCAATCCGGGAAATATTTACGGGGAAATTGATCCCTGGTTCTGCGAATGGTGCAAACGCAAATGTGCGCATGTTTATATTTGCAGCACTGCCTGTCAGATACAGAGGCAGGGTTCATGTTCATGGGCGTTGCCTTGTGTTTGGCAGCTCACAGCCAAGCTATTAACAGTTAGAGGTACTGCCCTGACAGTAGTAAGCTCTGTTATAATAGAAAAAAATGTACGAACAGTGATATACACATCTGAATGAAAGCGACGATTAAACCCTGACCCTCGACGTTTATTTGTTGGACCATGTTTGACTGGTTTTCACTTTTACCGGCCACTTGGCTGAGCCGCCACATTCAATCCCGGAGTAACTCTACCTGATCACCTACAGTGGATACCACGTCGTTTAATACAGTGCTATAGTCCAGAGTTTAACAAGACAGAGGCATGGCACTCTACCTTAGTGTTATATAGTTAAGTCATAGTGCTTTAGCCTAACATTTGCAATTCAGTGTTTTAGTGTTGCGTTTGTCGGTGCAGTGTTAAAGTGTCATTTATATGCAGTCCTCGACTTACGCGCACCCGAATTACGAACACCCGCACTTATGAACCAGTTTCCACGAAGTATATATATTTAACATCGACTTAAAACACGAACTCGCACTTGCAAACTGAACCGCGGAACTATTCTGTTCAGCGGAGAGATCCTCCGTGAGATGTAACGAGACGGCCTCACGCTGGGAGTGTTTGGGCGCGTGTGTGCACGCACACGTGTGTGTGACAGTGAGTGTGTGTGAAAGTGAGTGTGCGCGCACACGTGTGTGTGTGCAGTGAGTGTGTGTGCACGCGCACACGCGCGTAAGAAAGTGAGTGTGTGTGCGCGCACAGGTGTGTGTGTGACAGTGAGTGAGTGCACGCGCACACGCGTGTGTGTGAAAGTGAGGGTGTGTGCACGCGCACACGTGTGTGTGACAGTGAGGGTGTGTGCACGCGCACACGTGTGTGTGACAGTGAGTGTGTGTGTGCGCGCACACGCGTGTGTGTGACAGTGAGTGTGTGTGTGCGCACACGTGTGTGTGAAAGTGAGGGTGTGTGCACGCGCACACGTGTGTGTGTGACAGTGAGTGTGTGTGTGCGCACACGCGTGTGTGACAGTGAGTGTGTGTGTGCGCACACGTGTGTGTGAAAGTGAGTGTGTGTGTGCGCACACGCGTGTGTGACAGTGAGTGTGTGTGTGTGCGCACACGTGTGTGTGTGTGACAGTGAGTGTGTGTGTGCGCACACGTGTGTGTGTGTGACAGTGAGTGTGTGTGTGTGCGCACACGTGCGTGTGTGACAGTGAGTGTGTGTGTGCGCACACGTGTGTGTGTGACAGTGAGTGTGTGTGTGCGCACACGTGTGTGTGACAGTGAGTGTGTGTGTGCGCACACGCGTGTGTGACAGTGAGTGTGTGTGTGTGCGCACACGTGTGTGTGTGACAGTGAGTGTGTGTGTGCGCACACGCGTGTGTGACAGTGAGTGTGTGTGTGCGCACACGCGTGTGTGACAGTGAGTGTGTGTGCGCGCACACGTGTGTGTGTGACAGTGAGTGTGTGTGTGCGCACACGCGTGTGTGACAGTGAGTGTGTGTGTGCGCACACGCGTGTGTGACAGTGAGTGTGTGTGTGCGCACACGCGTGTGTGTGACAGTGAGTGTGTGTGTGTGCGCACACGTGTGTGTGTGTGACAGTGAGTGTGTGTGTGCGCACACGCGTGTGTGACAGTGAGTGTGTGTGCTCGCGCACACGCGTGTGTGAAAGTGAGGGTGTGTGCACGCGCACACGTGTGTGTGACAGTGAGTGTGTGTGTGCGCGCACACGTGTGTGTGTGAAAGTGAGGGTGTGTGCACGCGCACACGTGTGTGTGACAGTGAGTGTGTGTGTGCGTGCACACGTGTGTGTGTGACAGTGAGTGTGTGTGCTCGCGCACACGCGTGTGTGACAGTGAGTGTGTGTGTGCGCGCACACGTGTGTGTGTGACAGTGAGTGTGTGTGTGCGCACACACGTGTGTGACAGTGAGTGTGTGTGCACACGCACACGTGTGTGTGACAGTGAGTGTGTGTGTGCGCGCACACGCGTGTGTGTGACAGTGAGTGTGTGTGTGCGCACACGCGTGTGTGACAGTGAGTGTGTGTGCTCGCGCACACGCGTGTGTGAAAGTGAGGGTGTGTGCACGCGCACACGTGTGTGTGTGACAGTGAGTGTGCGCGCACACGCGTGTGTGACAGTGAGTGTGTGTGCTCGCGCACACGCGTGTGTGACAGTGAGTGTGCACGTGCACATGTGTGTGTGACTGAGTGTGTGTGCACACGCGTGGCAAAGCGTGTTTGTGTGTGGGGAGCGGTGGTGTAGCGGTTAGCGCGCTGCACTACCAACCCGGCAACCCGAGTTTAAATCCCGCTGACAACCAACACCAGTGACAATTATCTGAATGGGTCATGGGCCTCCCCTATGTCGACTCAGCCTCAAATTAGTACCTGGTGCGGTGTATAAACATCGCCACTGGGGAGACAAAGTCGGCCGGGCGTGGTGTTGGCCACCCACCTCCTCGTGTGCCGCACCGGGATTCATAGGTGCTCGCTAACAGCATTTGCCCCGACATTATGTTAAAGGCTATACGGGGATATTTGTACATTGTCTTTGTGCGTGGAGGAATCTGCATCTGTTACTGATAAAATGGGAGGCTGATCGATTCCCGGGTGCGGTCGAGGGATGGCTCCCTATTGATCAACCATGTTAATTATGTTAATGATCTGGTGATTGCTGCTCACTCAGAGGAGGAGTTGGGAGGCGCTACTGCTTGACCTGGAGCTTACCACTAAGAGGTAGAGCCGTGCCATCAGCCCCTCCACAACTAAGCGCCTGCCTGGGTATTTTGTATCATCAAACACTCCACCCCTCAAATCCCCATTGGCGGAGTAGTTGTGGAGAGAGTGGAGAGGTTTCCTTACTTGCGCAGTGTGCTTATGACTCGCTCCGGTTTGACAGCAGAGGTCTCACTCCGAACCAGTAGAGCAGCAATATATTTTTATCTGCTGCGTCATGCTGTGTGGAAGCTACATGGTTTATCGCTCCACACGGAGCTTCGGGTCTTCTCAGCCACAGTCATGGACTCCCTTCTTCATGCTTGCGAAACGTGGACCCCCTTAATGGAACATCTTCACCGATTAGAAACTTTCAGGCTGGCCTGCCTACGATCCATCCTGAGTTTAACCTGGCTGGATTGTGTGAGGAGCTCACAAATCCTTGAGAGATCTGAACAAAGTCCCATCGGTGAACTCCTCCGGCAGGCAAGGCTGCGTTGGCTGGGTCATGTAGCCCGCATGCCCAGCCACCGCATGCCTAAACAGCTTTTGTTCGGCCGTATCGAGGGGGCTAAACGGGCGCGGCACGGGCTAGAGAAGAGATGGAGTGATGTGGTACGAGAGGATATGGCGCTGAGTGGACTTGCCAATGACTGGCTCACAACAAACAGCGGAGCGCCGGGCGGCTAAAACACAGCAAGTTTTCACACCAGGGGGCACAGGTGTTGCATCTGCCAGTTATCTCAGTCAGTCAACCCATGGCATCTGGGTCTGTCCCGTGACCTCCTGCCAGCGGGCGTTTCACACTTCACGTAGCCTTAAAGTGCACCTAGCCTGGCACAAGCACCATTATTGTTGTGTGCGTGCACTCGTGCCCCGTGTGTGTCTAATTGTGGTGACTCATTGCGCCCCTTCTGATAAGCAAGCTAGCATCAGAACTCAAGGTAAGTGAAAACATTTCTTGACATTTTTGTTACTTTCTTTTAATTACTATACAGTACTTATTACAGCATAACATGCAAATGTACAATGTTTTTTTTCTTTGTTTTACCGTGCCACATTTCACAACACTGACCTATGGACACTTAAATACAATACATTGTTATGTTACGAACGGGCCTCGGGAACTAATTGTGCTCGTAAGTCGATGACTGCCTGCACAGGCGATCCCGGTACCGTGTCAGGAGCAGATTGCTTGGGGGGGGGGGGGGGGGTTGGGGAGCTTTCCTCGTGCAACTCGGCGTTGCAACCTTGCCACCTCTGCCTGGTGGCTGCCCCTTCTGCCTGGTGGCTGCCCCCTCTGCCTGGTGGCTGCCACCTCTGCCTGGTGGCTGCCCCCTCTGCCTGGTGGCTGCCCCCTCTGCCTCGTGGCTGCCCGCTCTGCCTGGTGGTTGCCCCCTCTGCCTGGTGGCTGCCCCCTCTGCCTGGTGGCTGCCACCTCTGCCTGGTGGCTGCCACCTCTGCCTGGTGGCTGCCACCTCTGCCTGGTGGCTGCCACCTCTGCCTGGTGGCTGCCACCTCTGCCTGGTGGCTGCCCCCTCTGCCTGGTGGCTGCCCCCTCTGCCTGGTGGCTGCCACCTCTGCCTGGTGGCTGCCACTTCTGCCTGGTGGCTGCCCCCTCTGCCTCGTGGCTGCCCCCTCTGCCTGGTGGTTGCCCCCTCTGCCTGGTGGCTGCCCCCTCTGCCTGGTGGCTGCCCCCTCTGCCTCGTGGCTGCCACCTCTGCCTGGTGGCTGCCACCTCTGCCTGGTGGCTGCCCCCTCTGCCTGGTGGCTGCCCCCTCTGCCTGGTGGCTGCCACCTCTGCCTGGTGGCTGCCCCCTCTGCCTGGTGGCTGCCCCAGGAGACTTTTGCGCTCTGCGAGCTGCACAACTTGACTGGGCCCCTGCCCGAGACCTTTGAGTCCTGCGAGTTGGTGACCTCTGCACGTCGCTCGGCCTGTGCCAAGACCTGCGAGTGCCAAGACCTGCGAGTCTGAGACCTTTGACCTTGCGACCTTTGGCGGGCCTCCGCTTGGACCTTACGTCTGAGACCTGTGGACCTGTGACCTTAGGTTAACAACACTCTTTCTGCCGTCATTGAGCAGTGGAGGTCTTGGACTTTCATCGATTGCCATTAGCGCTGTTTGTTGATAGAGATATAACCTGACCAAATTGTGTTACCGCCATTCATGTTGACCTTGGTTTTTTGTGACTTGCGTTATCTCGTTGCATTGAGAATACATCTCTATAAAAGCAAGCTGTGACTGTGTTCAAAGATGGCTGCTTGGTTCTGGGACCTTTGGGAGTTTCTCCAATTACGCCTTTTGGAGGTGACAGCCCCTAAAGCCCAACCATAGCCTCACGATCAACCACACTCGTACAACACAGGAATCCCGAGGATATAACTTAAGCGTAATACAAAACGAAACATCAGATTTAATTTAACTTTGTAACTACATTTTTTTAAAGATTGAATCAGAATTTTCATTCATGGAAAGTAAGATTTAGTTCTCAGACAAATACGTTTTTTTGCAAAAGCAGAATGGAGTTCTGCTTACATTTGTTTCATCGTGAAGGTGTTTTAAATAATGGGTTTGTGACATCACCATTGCGTGCGTGGCACTCTTCACCGCAGGCCACAGATCTTGGAGGATCAAATTGTGCTGCCGTACCCATGCTGAAAAACAAGCTGTAAAACTCTGATCTGTGGGGCACGAACTGCAGACAGCATTCCGTGATTCTACTCTTAAATTACACGCTCATACAGTATGCAATTACAAAAGAACCTTATCGGGTCCACACCTGAACACAGATTTCGTTATCTGAGTGGGAAGTTAACCTTTACCCTCAGACTCGACGCTTACGGAGAACGAAGGTGAAATCCGCCGGCGCGAATGCAGTGCGGTGACCTGCACAAGACCCCGTAGCAGCGTCCGCGCGGCCACGCTCGCCTTCGTATTTTGTTAAAGATGGGCAAGGGTCTAGTGGCGATTTTGTCGGTGATTCTGACGTTGATGACGGTGGTCGCGGTGTCGCTGTCAGTGCTGCTGTGGTTGAAGACAACTGAAACTCAACCAGGTAATATAAAGCGCAGCACACACATCTGTAAATTGAAACGCATGTGCAAAGTCTGCTAAAATGCCATTTCTGGCAGTAACACAGGTGGTAGGGTGTTCAAACCTCAAACAGACACATACTTGCTTAACCTTGTCTAAATGCAGTTTGGTAAAATGTAATGAATCGTTCCAGTGGGACACTCAGCGTGATATTTTAATCTGTGTACGCGTCAGGACATGTTTGCTACGATGTACGTGTCAAGGGGCTTGACCACAGTTGTTAACCAATCCAGACGCTCCATCTCAAGGGGTTTTGCACGTGAACTCCTGGTATGTAATGAACAAATATAAATAAATCCGGAATATAAATAAGTATAAAAATACAACAAATAGAATGACATCGTAAATACAAAATATATATATGTTATTGACAAATATACGCGTAAAGATTTATCGCGTTTTATTTGGCTACGTGAGTTTGTAATTTTTAGTTTTAAAATCCTCAATATACAGGGTGGCCCCAGGACACAAGACATTATATTTACTTTACCGAAACCCAAAGGGTGATGTCATTTCTTTTCACAAATGTTCAAACTGACTGCCATTAACAATGCTTTCATGAATGCTCTTTTGAAATAAATGTAGAACTTTTTATTTAAAGATTACCGGTATAATCTTTGAACATTCAACAATTATGTTTCGTCTCAATTCATTCAGGGGTTCTTGGTCAAATTTTATAAACTACGGGTTTGAGGTGACCCCCCACAGGAAGAAGAATAATATAAATAATGATCATGAGCTAAAATATTAACTTAAAGAAAAATCAAACGTTGTAATGCCAGTTTCAATGAATCTCGCCACTCCTATGATGTGTTTGAAGGAGGGGGCGATGATTACAATACACGTTCCAAATGCGGGTTAATTTTTTAATTTGGACCATCATGCCAGCACACAATGGCCTACCCTTGCGAATGACGTCAAGAGATCTTAAACACGTCCACGGAGAAGAAGACGGCGCGTAGTTTCACCGTGGTTCGTGTACACACGCACGCAGTATTTACCGTGGTGGACCGCCGGATTCGAACCACGAGCCTCTGCAATAGGCGACGAACCCGTTGCCGCTGAGCCGTGGCCCCGCTAAGTGAGATATGGAGAACAAATACCCGACGCCTTCTCTCGTCAGTGTGGATGTTGGAGCCCGAGGATGTTCTTGGGACTGCACTCACGGCCGAGCGTATGGTGGATCTCGTATGGAGAAAAAAAGTCGAATATAGTTTCGGTGATAATTTCAACACCGCAGGGGTTGTAGCGAGAGGGGTCCAGAGAGGGGTCCAGAGAGGCATTCGCCGGCTGGGATTTGGATGAACCTACACGAGTCACTCGGAGAGATTGGAGAGGTTGAGTCGTCGTAGAGATGGATTTGTGAGCCTTGATTATGTAATGGCGGTGTTCTTGTACAGATGAACGATATACTGGTGTACACGAGGTCCTGCTGTGCACAAGATGTTGACGTACATGGCACATGCTGTTCCACCTGTATGGAATAGAGTGTTGCCCCCTCGCATGAATGAGTTAAATCCGGGTGCTCCTGTTCACTCCCAGTCATCAACTGGCTGAGAACACCTTAATATACAAGCATACAATGCAGTGCCCTCCTGAAAAAAGTGTTGCTAATTCCTTGGTCAGTAAGCCATTATTAGTATTATCATTGTATGTACAAACGTATTCTGTTACCGAATTTCAGAGACAGAGAGTCGGCAGACCAACTATATGATTGGTGTTGGACGAGCGGACTGCACAGGCCCTGCTGCTGAAGTGGCAATGGTACCAAAGGCCAAATGCATTGTCTTCACACACCCACTCACACACCGCTTCACACTCCAACTCACACACCGACTCACCGCTTCACACACCAACTCACAACAACCGCCATTCGCCACTAAGTGGCGGTGACGTCACCTATGACACCGACTCACACACCCACTCGCACACAAACTCACACACCTACTCACACACCGACTCACCGACCCACTCACACACAAACTCACACACCCACTCACGCACACACCGCTTCACACACGAACTCACACTCCAAGTCACACACCCACTCACACACAAACTCACACACCGCTTCACACACCCACTCACCGACTCACACACAAACTCACACACTCACACACCCACTCACACACCCACTTACAGACAAAGGGGCCGTCCATAAATGACGTCACGCACCTAGGGAGGGGGGGGGGTCAGACATTTGTGACGATGTGTGACGAGGGGGGGTGGTGAGAAATGTGACGTCACATCAAAATGCGCAACTTTAAATAAATATGTAATTGTTATAACAGCATTCCTACAACATCAGAGTGCAGGGCCACATTAAATACGCACTACAATTACAATACAGTAGTATAAAGCGATTTGAAGCATGTTTTATTTTTTTAAATGGAAATGTGGTTTGGGGGGGGCAGCGCTTTGTGACGTCATATTTGAGGGGGGGGGGGTCTGACTTTTTGTGACGCCGTGTGACGAGGGGGGGGGGGTCAAAAATCGTCCAAAATCGCGTGACGTCATTTATGGACAACCCCAAACTCACACACCCACTGACACCCAAACTCACACACCGACTCACCCACCCACTCACACCCACACACCGCTTCCCACACCGACTCGCACACACTTGACTCGCTATTTTAGTCCCAATCTGTATTCGATGAGAATGAATGCCCATCGCAAAAGCAGCGCACCAGCAGCCGGCTTCAGAGGAGCGGAGCGGGCCCTTGCTGACGGAGCAGAGTGCACGCGGCAGCGGCGTCGCTGAGGCCGCGCCCACGGTGAGGGGGCTGTGAACGCGTTGTGCACCAGATGGGCTACGCCAGCCCGTCGCAGGTCGCCAAGGGGATCCACACGCGCCTCTACAGCCGCGCCTTCATCGCGGCCGACTTCAGCGGCAACCGCGTCGTGTTCGTCAGCGTTGATGTTGGCATGATCTCGCAGAAGGTCAGGCTTGAGGTGAGTCACTTTCTCTGGGGGGACTTGGCCTACTCTTCCACATTGGCCAAGCATCTTGGATGAGCAGGGAGTACCCACAGGTCCAGTGTGCTATCCGTCACCGCTTTCCAACCCATAGATCAACAAATCGTCCCCAGTCCAGCTCGTATTGGCCAACCACTCCAAGGCCGAAACACTTCCTGCAAACTACTCCATTGGGATTCCACACGGCAGCATCGCCCTCTACTGCGAACAAAACAACAATTGGCAGGACCCTCCTGCGAATAAAGTGGCACGAGATTCAGTGGGTCTCTCCTGGATAAACAAGCATCACCCACATCACATTTGAAACCATTCTCCTATCTCACTTTGCGGACCCACTGACGAGGAGACGGGATGGGAGCCCCTGGTTCGTTTTTCTGGCGTTATCGCCAAGATGCATTCTCCCCCTGACACTGCATCTCCATCTTATCTGCAACCGCTACCGATGGTCGGCAGTCTCTCCCACTATCGCCCGTGGTGTCCCTGGCAATATAAACTTTTGTCTGCCGTGCAACTGATCCGCAGATGGCGTGTGGAATCGTGCGTTAACCGGACCCCACGGGCAACATGAGCCGAGGTTCAGAGGCATTTCACAGCAGTTGCTTTAGCAGTGCACTAACGTCGACACGAAGCGACACTGACCACCCGAGTTTCATTTCCAACCACGGCTGACATCAGTGGCGAGTAATATCTGGACCGGTCCTGGCCCCACCCTTCCCCAATGAACGATGCCCACCGTGGTGAAGTATGTTCAAACAACCCCTGTAACCGACACGGTGTGGCCCTAATCCAGCAGAGGATTGAAAAAAAATAGTTATATTATTGAATTATTTTATTTGTGTATCTCGATGGGCCTGTATATCTCCTGCTCGGTTAAATAAAGGACACTTCTGTTAAATAAAGGATACTACGACAGTTGTGCAGTGCCGTTGAGTTACAGTATTCGTGTTGCAATGATCTTTTTTCAGGTGTTAATGCGGCTAAAGGATAAATACGGATCACAGTACAATGAGTCGAACGTGGTTCTGAGTGGGACCCACACTCACTCGGGCCCCGGAGGATACTTCCAGTACTCTCTCTTCGTGATTGCTTCTCAAGGATTCATCAAACCCTGCTTTGAAGCCATCACTTCAGGCATCGTTCACGTGAGCCTTGCACAGCACATCGGCACGTTTCCGCGCGAATCTCCTCTTCTGGCACACAACCCTGCTCTGCTGCAAACTCGGCTCACACGGGCTGATCGGAACTCGCGTGAGCAATGCGTGAAACGGAAACATTTCGCCAGAGCAGCAGATTGTGACCGATCACAGACAAAATGTTGAAAGAATTGCTGCCGCGAATGACAGGGAAGCCAGGAATTGCAGGAATGGCGTGGAATGCTTGCATCTACCGGTACGGTAATTTTTTGTTTATTCAAAGTGCATCTGTTTTCCAGAGTATTGACATTGCCCATGGAAACATGAAGCCAGGCAACCTCTTTCTCAGCCGAGGGGAGGTGAAAGAAAGCAATGCCAACCGCAGCCCCTTCTCCTACCTGAACAATCCAGCAGCGGAGAGAAGCAGGTAACGTCGCTCGCGACCACGCGAAGGAAACCTTTGAACTGCAGTGCCTCGCGGGAACGTTCTTCGCGCCGTAAACAAGCCCCACTTCACATTACGCAATGGATGCATTTTCCTGCCACACAGGGTGCCGACACGTTACACGAGTAGCCGTTACGATCGTCAGAGTCCATAAAACCGGACAGAATATTAACTTGTTGAGCGGTGCACAAACCGCGATTCGCAACCCCGAGCAGAACATCTTGCGGGGTGTGGTGGTAGTGGTGATGCGTCAACATCACTTCTCGTGATGGCGAAGCAGTCGGAAGAGGAATGTCGTTTCAAATGTTGCTTAGGGGCTGTCTTATGAGGACCGGTGTGTTATGCTGCACCGGTGTACCACCAATACGTCCATATACCGAAATAAAAACGTCACGAGGCAATTCGTTAACAGCAACAACAATGAAGGAGGACACGGAGACGCAGATGTGCCAGGCTGCTGTGACACTTGGCTTCGTCTGGGTACGTTCAAATTGGACAGCGCCAACTCCCTGGAGCGTTGCGTGCTGATGACACCGAACGATGGCTCAGCTCCGTCGCCTATGATCCCTGAAGCGATCCGGGCACATTATGGAACGGCGCTGAGGGCGCGTAGCAGCTTCTGTATTTATCTTGTGGTCTTTACAGGGCCAAAGTCCTTTTTCGATTATTTTTCACGCTGTGTTCGTCCCTGCGCAGGAGGAAATTTCACTTCAATCGCAACACAGCCGGGCATCGGCATTGCCAATGTCCTGCTCTTCTCTTTTTGTAACTCATCGATGCAAATTGACTTCTATCCTACATCCCGTGTACATCTCTATCTGCATCTCCCTTTTTCCAGCTCACGTCATCTCTGTCTCTAGTTTACATCTCTCTCCATTTACTACACATTTATTTACACCTTATATCTCATTGCAAATGGGGGGCCCCAAGAATTAATTTAGCTTTCGGCCCCAATATGAGCCAGCACCCCCACTTCCTGTGTCAGGCCTCAAAGTAAACTTTTTTTTATTTGACCAGGTGAAGCCCACTGAGATATTAGCTCTTTTTCATAAGCGATCTGGTTACACACGATAGCTAAATGAAGTCGCTTATCTCGTGGAAATTTATACCAGCCAAATAATCTAAACGCTAATGTTTCTAAACGTGGAGGGAAAACCCGGAGGACCTGGAGAAAAATCCACGCGGCCACGGGGAGAATATTAAAACTCCAAATATACAGCAGCAGGCGTCAAGGGGTGGGATGGAACCCACGACCTCCTGCGTACCAGGCGAGGGAGAAAACAACTCTCTTGGTGGTTGCACTGTGGCCCAATGTTTGTACAAGTCTGGAAGCGACAGGAAGCTTAATCAATCTCTATATCTATTTTTATTTAGCACCTTTGGTGATAAAATCGCATCTCAAGTGCTGCACGGAACTATAATGAAATATATCGCTTAATAATAGGTTATTAAACGAATTACAAATTATAATAGAAATGCAAATGTAGGTTTAGAAAGGTTTATAACTTTATTCTAAACACAGCAACTTTAAAGGTACCTGAGATCATTGTACAATAAGATGATAATAAATGCATACATGAGTGGAAAACAACAGTAGCCAAAATATGAAAGTGCCACTTTGATCCCATTTCATCATCCAGCCCACATCGGCCTTTTCCCTCTGTGGAGACATCGCAGTGTAAGAATAGGAGCCGTTCTCAAAGGTGCTGGTATAAGGGTGTTTGGTGTCGTGAGAAGTGGCGGCGTGGCGTATGATTGCTTACCGGCACATTACCACTGTGCATCCTGCAATCCGTGGTCGAGTGTAAAACTCCATAATAGAGATTTTTTTTTAGTTAGACCGCGTAAATATAAATGTGTTGTTAAACCCGCCACCACCCGACACAGCCAATTAGTAAGGTTTGTCACGTAAGCAAAACGTCCCAATTCGCTACGAGTTCAGCACACCAGTGTGTTGGAGAGCAAATCCACAACAAGTAGTAACTAATAGGCGTGTGTTTTTAAGTGACAAACCTTACTAGTTGACTGTGTCGGGTGGTGGCGGGTTTAACGACATATTTATATTTACGCGAAAGTCTACGTGTTAAACACAGTTTAAAACTACAACAACATTTGGTTACAGAAAGATGATGTGTTCTTTTCGATTTAAAGCTTTCGTGACTGCAGGGATTCATCTTCTTGGATCTTTCGGCAAAGTCACGTAGAAGGGAAGTAATAAAATAATATTATTTTATTACGTGACTTTACCGAAAGAACCAAGAAGATGATGTGTTCTGAGTCCCCACTTGCCATGGTAATATAGCAAAGAGCTCCCATTCTCATCGTCGTCGCTGTATAATTCAAATTGTGTTGTGTGGTCAACATCCAGAAATGATCACGGGAAACGCATAATATTGAGCGGTGTTCTATTTCTGCAGGTACAAAACCAACACCGATGAGGACATATTGCTCCTGAAGCTCGTGGACCAGGAGGGCGCACCCATCGGAGTGGTGACGTGAGGCCCACATCTCTTACAGGCCTCCTCCTCCTCCTCACTCAGCATGCTTGGGAGGCTCAACCAGGGCGCACTCACGGGTGGCAGCTCCTCACTCCTCCAGCCCCGCCCACTTTCGCATAGCCACGCCCACCCAGTCACTACCCCCACCGCTCACAGTGAGAGTGGCCTCCTGGCACTGTCTGGATGTCGGTCCCCACCTTGTGCCTATAGGCCCCGCTCACCACTCTGCCAGCCTCACCCACTACTCCGGTAGCCCCACACTTTGTCCGGATCATCAGTCAACCATGAAGCCAGAAGATGTGTCCACCTATCAGACTCCCACATCCATCCCTGATTGGTTGAACAAAGACTGCAGAACAAAAATAAACATTGTTTTTCTGAATTGGTCTTATACAGCTCTGTAAATAAAGTAGTGGGTCTATTGACAGCCAGCAAAACCTCCTTGTCGGGTGTATGGATGGTGTAGCCCCAGTATTGAGGAGGCCTATTAAAGGCACTTCAACAGGGGCACTTCAATTTGGGCCAGTCTGTTATACAAGGTGTAGAGGATGTTCGGGACATCCTCACACACAAACGCCACACAACCACGGGCCGCGGGTTAGGGGTCACGGGGGCGTGGGTTAAGGGTCACGGGGGCGCGGGTTAAGGGTCATGGAGGCGCGGGTTAAGGGTCACGGGGCCGTAGGTTAAGGGTCACGGGGGCGCTGCCGTGTACGCCACCCAATCCGATTATTGAGGGGAGGACACTCCGACCGGATTGGCCCCCAGCAGGATTAGCAGTGGAGCGGTAAGCCCGAGAAGGGAATGAGTGTTAGAAAAAGGGCGGCAGACGGGCTACATAAGAGAGACGGTTTGGAGGGTTTGGGGTTAGTTTTCGACGATGAGCGGGAAGCACGGTGAGTGGGAAGCACGGTGAGTGGGAAGCACGGAGTGAGTCGCCTTGAGAATGAAGGTCCTGCTCAAACCGTCTCGAGCCTCCGCTTCAAAGGTAATGGCGCTGCTCGCTGCAAGAGCCCCAAACGGAGAAATCTGCCGACGCCAAGACACGATGCCAATGGGCAGAGCTGGAGTATCATTATTAGCAAGCGAGAGGGTGTTCGAGGTGACGCTTGGCTGCTGGAGGGGTGTTTCAGGTCACCTCGCGCTCGACGATTGCCGTCACCAAGGCATGGGCGAGGGCGAGACGTCGCAGCTCCCACAAGGCCGTGCAGAGCCAGTGGGAGGTGTAAACTAAACACGTGCAATGTTTGTCACGGGACAACATGGGAAGGGGAGGTAGCACCTGCTGACTTAGTTTGCTGCCCATATTCTCCACAACAACACCAACTTGTACTGAGCGACACTGTTGTTGGTAAAGCGACGGTGTGGCACTGTACTGTATATAGCATTAAACACTATCGCCATAACCTCAACAACTACATCATATCACTCCAACGTTACCTCTGCTATTCAGTCCCAAAGTCAACTGTACCTAAACTATTTAGAATCAACATCACGCGTTTATAGTTTTTGGCTGCTCTACATTTCTACGTGATAAGCCACTTCGTTGAGCTATCACTTGTGGCCAGGTCGCGTTTGAAAAATAACTACATAGCTCAGTGGGCCTTACCTGGTACTACAAAATAAAGAAGCTCATAGTTTCAGTTTATAAACCCAAACGGGCAAAGCTGCCTCAGCACGGAGGCAACCCAGAGAGTGAAAGAGCAGTCGACTCAGACGTCAACGAGTAGCTGGTGTGTTGTGCAAACATCAGCACTGGGGAGACAAAGGTGGCCTGGCGTGGTGTTGGCCACCAACCTTGCGTGCCGTGCTGGCCTTAATAGGTGTGTGTGTGTGTGTGCTATGTGTGTCCTACAGCTGGTTTGCGGTCCACGCTGTGAGCATGAACCTCACGAATAAACTCATCAGTAGCGACAACATGGGCTATGCCGCCTACCTGTTCGAGCAGGAGATGAACCCTGGTTTTCTGCCTGGGGAGGTGAGTGCCAGCATATATAACAATTCACTTGCGGACATGTGTGTACACGGATACTACACCGGTGATTGTTGAATGGACGAGTGTGCATTAGATTTGAAAACGAATTAGGTCCCTCCCAATGTTGACTCCATGGCTACGGCCTTGTGTTGAGCTTTTCCTTCTCACCACTCGTCTACAGAAGCACAGCACTCCCCACTGCCCATACCCCAGCCCCTGCCACACGCAGCAGCAGCGGCTACGGCAGCTGCCACAGAGGAGAGGGAGGCAGCGGAGCCCTGGCCGGGAGACATCGAGGAAATGTTGATTATTTTTGAAGGGGTTTCCTCTTACTCACTAGCTACTTAATAGATCATTATTCATACGCCAATTTGAAAACTGGTCATCAGAAAAACATGTTTCAGATTCAATCCTCATGAGGCGCCATGGGTGTAAAGTCTCCCAACTCTTCGTATCCACTCGATCTTTCTGCCCTCTGTATGTGCTACGTGGAAGGGCGATAGCTGGAAGGCAGCACCGAATGCTTATTTTTTTCTTTTAAAGCAGCGGCGTTATTGACGAATGTGTTAAGAGTTATTTTGTGATTTCTGAAACTAGTACATTGTCCTGGCCAAAAGGGGACGTCTGGTAGCCTCACCACATCCAAGTGTTTGTCCTGTTCGCATCGATAAGTAGAGTCTCGGACCGCTCGGTGACCCTCCGTGCGCCTGGTGAAAGCGACTGCGCTAACCCGTCGTCCACGGCGTCCGCCTGTCGCCCCGCAGGGACCGTTTGTGGCGCTGTTTTCTTCATCGAATTTGGGAGATTCCTCACCCAACACCAAGGGCCCACACTGCAGCCAGACGGGGGTTTCCTGTGCCAACGTGAACAGCTACTGTGATGTCGGAGGGGTACGTGTCTTGCCTCGCCACAGAATTGCTCCACGTCGCAGTAAACAGCTGTGATGCTTAACAAAGGTAGAGGCGCAGCCCTGCAATTGCTTGCTCACGCCGCTGCTGGTGGAAGAGCCTCCACTAGAGGGAGCGCTAGAGAGCTGCTGTCGAGGGTATTTGGCCTACTGTTCCACGCCAGTCTTGGTAGAGGTCGGAGTACCCACACTTAACTCCACCACACAAGACCTGCCAATCAAATTATTGTGGTGTTCCCATTGATACTGGCGGGTGAACAGAGGCGGGGAGGATTTAAGAAACTTCCGCCATTGTTTTAACTGCCAGAAAAGGAGATGGAATCGAACCGGTGACCTCTGTTTTGCAAGTCCAGTGTTCAGTCCATCACAGCACTGCGCAAACGTCCCCCAGTCTTTGAATACACGAGGCCGATTGTGCGTGGACTGGGCATCTTGTGCTATCCCTGCTGTTTTACCGATTGAAACTGGACACTGCAGGTTTAATGTTTAGTTTTTCCAGTATTATGTGTCGGCAATACCGTAGTTAGCCAGGCGGGTGTCGAGGCGGGCGTCTGCGTGGCCACGTGGGTCACAAAGCCAAGAAGCACAGAGTCTTCTCGGCTTCTCGGCAGACGCGTGTGGTGGATGCCGCGGCCTCCGCGTGGTGCCATGGCCCAGTGACAGTGCGCTCACCGCTTGCTGTAGAGGTTCACGGTTCAAATCCTGTGGCCGCCATAATTAACGCCGAGGTGTGTATTAACAACAAGAAATATTTCCGTCACAGAGGATGTTAAAATTCCCGTGACGTCATTCGCAAGAGAGAGCACAATGCTCCACATTTTTCTCATTTTAAAAGTTATCCGCAAGTTACTCAATCGGGACGAGGCACAGCAATCACCACCACCTCCTGTAAAAACTTTGCAGGACCCTCCGGAAAAAATAATCTTGAGACTCAGTGAGACTAAATAATAATAATGTCAGGAATGGTTATTGAAGCCAGAGGAGCAGTTCCCAAACTGTGGAACCAGGGGGACATGAGACACAGCCCTTTGCGGTGGCGATCCCTCGGGGTTACGGAGCAGACTGGGGCATTCTGGGAACCATCGCCCTCTCGTGGTGAACAAGGTGTGCATCGTGCCCGGAGGGTGATTTGTTGAAGCAGCGAGCGTCTTTGTTTGTCACAGTCAAAGACGTGCATCAGCATGGGACCTGGAGACGATATATTCGAAAGTACAAAACGCATTGGGGAAAACATTTACTCAAAGGCCAAGGTAAGTCGGCTTCATCATTATCAACATGGACATTGTCATATTGTCATCTTAACACTCTTACCATGACGGTGGCAGCAGGGAGGTGGTGGCGCAGCGGCGACACTCGTGCCCCACTTGAGCATCTTTCTGTGGGGAGTTTCTGTGTTCTCCCCCATGTGCTGTCTGGGTTTCCTCTGGGTTCTCCAGTTTGCCTCCAAAGCAAAAAACCGCAAAATGTAACTGATATTGGTCAAACATCCCAATGCTCAGAGATTACTTGCAAATTACTCAATTGAGATTACACACAGCAGCAACCGCTGTTGTGAAAACTTGGCAGGACCCTCCTGAAAAAGAGTCTTGGAATTCATTTAGGCTTTCCTGGGTAAACAAACGGAGTAGTAATAATCATACGACTCAGCAGCATTGTCATATTGCCATCATAGCACTCCTACTTTAATGATGATCATCATAATTTGTAATGAAACACCCCCTTGAGTCATGCCTGCAAGGGGTTAGCCTGCACTTGAACTCCAACCCAACTAGGAATGCCAGCCCATTCCCTCGCACTCAAGGGAATTCGGCAACCGGGTCACGGAGCAAGCACCACTGCTCACAGCAGCCCTAACCGGGGTTATTGCACCACTCACAATCAGGCTCGCCCAAGGACGTGTGACAAAGAGTGGCACACTTGCCTATAAATGAACATGTGCGTGGTCTGGTATTCCTCTATGTATGTTCACACATACTCTCACGATTCAAAAACTGAAGTCTTTTAAAACTAAATTATTTTATTTAACAGGTAAAGCCCAGTGAACTATTAGCTATTTTTAAGAATTGACCTGGCCACACATAATAGCTCATGGAAGTGGCTTCTATCATCGTCACATGTGTGGAATTTATTGGAGCAGCCAAATAATTTGAACAGATGTTTCTAAATGTGGAAGGAAAAATTAGAGGATCCAGAGAACAATTCATAATCTACCAGGGAGAACATGCAAACTCCAAATATATAGGAGTCAGGGTCAGGATTGGAGCCACCATGGTCGTCCATATTAAAGTCATCGATGCGTTATATTGTTAGACGCAGGCCGCCAACAAACCTGCAACATCTGCGTACTGCACAGGCCAGATTCATGCAGCTATTGGGGTCATCATCATCATCATCGTTGGCAATATGATTCGCATTGCCATAAAAATAATTACTATCTTTGGCAAAATCTTCATTCTTACCTTCATCTCTGTCGGAGATAAAGAATTCCAAGTCAGCATTCCCGGAGCCCAGAGACGCTCTAAACTTGCTGAGGAAAGTGGAGAATCCTCCATAACCACACCCACTTTGAGCCATGCCTCCAACGGTGGAATTGCGCCAATGAATTGGCAAGTACAGATTTGAGCATATTTCCTACACAAGCGACCATTATTTCACGAATCGAAGGTAGGAATGACGAGCAAAACCTCTATACGAATCAGGGCCACCACTCATTAGAGTTTCACTATTGTCAACTTTGGAACTTGACTAAAATGGGATGCCGGTTGATTCCCTCTGCCCAACACTATGATATAACTTGTGATGTAACTATGATATAACTTGTTCCGGTCTTGAGTTTGCCAGTGCTTTCTGTGCCCGGGAGGAATGGCTTCTTTGCGCCGGGGCATGACAAATCGAGGTGCCCTTTTCCCTCTTGCAGGAGCTGTTCTCGGAAGAGGGGAGGACGCTGACCGGTCCGGTGAATTCTGCCCAGCAGTGGGTGAACATGACCGATGTTGTTGTTCGGTTCAACTCCACTCACACAGTAAGACATCCGTCTAAAAGACTGCTTCGCGGAGCGGCGACGCGGCCCCGCGGTAGCGCCCTCGCCGCTCGTTGCAGAGGTTCACGGTTCCCTTCTGGCAGGCCACCCTGGTGAATACTGCACGTGTGTTAACCGTAAAAGATGCACCGCCTGCTTCACGGACAGACGTAAACAAATCCCCTGATGTCATTAGCAGCAGAGTAGGCGACCGCGTGCCAGCGTGACTGGGTGAACCCATAGAGCAACATGTCCCTGTATTGTCGCGCATGAAGGCAGACGACACCCCTGCGTGAAACACAGTGTGAGCTCGTGACAGCCTTGTGCTATAAGAATGCTGCGACTACCACGTGTTCTGTTGATCTGATTGAACGTATCGTACCAGTCTACACTGGGCATTGCACTGCAAGGCAGCGCTACGAGTGGTACTATGAGTGGTGTTGTTCTTGTTGTTGTTGTCGTTGTTCGTTCTCCAGGCTAAGACGTGCAAACCGGCCCTGGGATACAGCTTTGCAGCCGGCACCACCGACGGCCCGGGGTCACTGAACATCATGCAGGGTAAACGCCTCCTCCTGCAGCAGCAGCAGCAGCAGCAACGGCATACTCCATTATTTAGTCAGATGAAACACAGGCCCAGTGAGACACACGTCACGAACGTGACCTCTTTTTCTTGGGCGAGCTGGTTCGCATCACGTCATTTAGAATACAGCAGAAAATCATTGAACACCGGTTCAAATTTAACAGCTCCAAGACTACGTTTAGCAATGATGTCATACTAATTCGATACATATAGGGAGAATTACATTAACTAACATTAAATGTTAAAGAGACGGAATGTGTGATGACTGGGAAGGGATGCAACGACATCAGGCAATTAGAGGAGAGTGGAGAACATGGCACCAGATGGATTAGAGAGGGGAAATGTCGGCTTACGGCAGAGGGGGAGCAGTAACACAGCGGTGTAATCACAACATGGACAATGGGTTCCTCAAAGCATATTTAAATCTGGATTGAAAATACAATTATTTAAAACTGTTTTAGTGTTTAGTTTGTTGTCCTTCCCCTGCACCTCCGATTAGCACGGTTGGCTACGTACAGTGTGAAAGAAGTTAAATTTACATACATCCATTGATCAAATCTTCAAGCGTATAATGTCGTACCGGTGGAAGCCTCAACTCTGGAGGCTGTTTCCAGAGTGTCCTTCTATGAGGGTATTTTACCAATATCTTCGATGACTCTTTCCAATAATTGCAGGAAAATGGAGTTCTGGCCGGAACCCAACAACAGCTTATAGAAATAACCCTGCTCATTTCCAGAACTGTGTTAACTTTCAAAAAATATATATAACGTTGAGACTACTGTTTGTTCCTGGCCGCTTGACATTTTGGGCCTGTGTACCTGTGCTCAACAACCGTGTTAACACAAAAAGTCCCACCACTCCACTCCTCCCTGACCAACGATGACCACCGTGTCCAATGCGGTGGCATTTTGACCTCTTTACATCCACGTTGCGTTACCTCCACCACTGTCTCCAGGCGCCTTCCTGGCTCTGTGTCTCTCATACACGTCAGCTGCACCTCTCTTACCCTTTTCCCATTGGCACATTCGAGCCACGCCATAGTGGGGTGGCTTTCGCCTGGCTTCCAAACTATGATACAGAACAAGTGGCGTGATACGCTGGCCTCGTGAGACGTGCAAATCTGTCTCAGGGCCAAGCGGGGCCAGTGGCGGGCTCCGTCGCTTTCATCGTGTGTTGCGTCGGTGGGTGAATTTGGGCGTGCAATGCAAGACATCATCACTCGTTGGTTGCGTGGGACTTCCACAGGGCGGCCCCGCCTGTGCAGTGGAAATACACCCTGGGCTGGCTCGGCACAGCCCTGGGCTGGCTCGGCACAGCCCTGGGCTGGCTCGGCACAGCCCTGGGCTGGCTCGGCACAGCCCTGGGCTGGCTCGGCGCAGCCCTGGGCTGGCTCGGCACAGCCCTGGCTGGCTCGGTTACGCAGTAAAAAAAAGGGGTCGTGTGCACTTGCCTTTTGAATGAGCAATGCGCGAGCTTCGTGTTTACGGCCTGTGCTGGTGTTAAAATGTTGAAAGTTCTTTCAGTTTACCTTACCTGCAGAGCCTGGCGGTGGTAGCTGTGCATGTGGCTGGTCATGCAGCTCTTTGGAGCCAGCGAGGGTTGGTGAATCACCGCACAAATGCTATGAAACTCCTTTCCCATGGGCATCGGGGAGCCGTAGCCTGGCTCGCCAGGAGGAGGCGGATTCGCGAGTTACTAAATGTGTCCCAATTCCCTATTCGCGACCCACCGGACTCCAGTATTTAAGAGTTGTACATAGTGCCTACAGACCACCCACACCGGGGAGGTGCAGGATCTTGTTACTACATTTGAAACGGTCTGCCGCCAAGATTGGGCACGCCCCCTCTGCTGCCCGCTTCGTCCTCAAGTCTCGCACTCATCTCGCTCAGAACTCGCTAGTGTGCACTTTTACTTGATGCGTACTTACAGTCCAGTCGTTTATACATTTTGATAGAAACGAGTCGATTGTGAGGTCCATTAAAAGTAATGCGAAATGCAATCAGGGAAAGTGTTGCTAAACTGATAACGAGCTGTGCGGCGTTGTTATCAAACACCTGAATCGTCCCGAGGAGTCATCCTCCTGACTTCATCACCACCACCTAAATCGTCGTCAAATTATCATGTTTACCACTTCCCCCCATGTGCACGTGTACCAGGAACGTAATCCCATGTTTTTTCCCATTGGAACGAGGTTTCTACATTTGCGAGCGTTTTCCAGAACGTACCGCTCGCGGATAGAGGGTTTACTGTATCATCTGTTCCATCTGGAAGGAATAGAATGTTAGCCCCTCAGGCTCTGGGCTTTATCTGGGTGTTCCACTTCACTCATTCATTGTGTGAACACATCTTAATATAAAACACATACAATTTAAGATCCTCATGAAAATACTAATCGGAGTGGCTTCCAGCGTAAATAAACAAATATTGTCGTCATTATTATGATCCAGTTGGTAATCCATACTCACAAGAGTAGTGCTGCTCTTATAACCGGAACAAATCATCCCGGGCTCCGATGTTGCGGTGTGCTCCAGCGTTGTAAGATATCAACAGGTGCTCCGTCAGAATCTACCAAGAGCAAACCAGGTCACTGACCACAGCCCAGGGAGATCAAGTTGGTGTGACCAATTATTTATGTCAATGATTGCCTCATAATAACGATTTTTGACGATTGTCAGGTAGTGAGTTAGTTTGGTTAATGCTAATTTTGCCACCCATTCCTTTCTTGTTAACCCCTTGGTTTAGTGAAAACGGCTCGGCAGGGAGATAGATTTGTGGCATCCGCCTCGTGGTGCGCGCTGACCCTTGCCCTCTGCAGGCACCACGGAGGGAAACGCATTCTGGGATGCCATTCGGGACTTTCTCTCCGGCCCTCCATCCAACGAGACCACGGAATGCCAGGCTCCCAAACCCATCCTCTTGGACACCGGAGATGTGAGTCGCGACTTTGCTGTTCGTGGGATTGCGCTGCTTCCACGCTCGTGGGGTTTGACCAATGAACGA